TGACATTAGGACATGTAAGTTACTACTACAAAATTGTACATATTGTTTCGACGTTGAATAAACAATGTCTCATCCTAAAACGGAGAATGAAGTGATGTTTCATAAATTGAAATTTTAAATAAAATCGTTTATTATCATCATTGTTAACTACATGACGACACGTTGTTTATTCAACGTCGAAACAAAATTTTCAATTTTCTAGTGAGTAACTTATATGTTCTAATGTAAAGTATATATATATATATATATATATATATATATATATATATATATATATAGACATATCTCATTAAATAGTTTATAGAAGTTTTATCTAATTATTTCTAATAGTATCCGCTCGTAATTACGGACAAGTTTCTTAATATCCTTTTTAAAGGAAGAAAGAAAATTACCATGTTGATGCATATTCATTTATTTCGAGTACTCTTGATATTAGCACCATGTCATCAACTGGGATTTGGTTTATGGGAAAGTGACTGAAGCCGAGATGCCAGGCTAGGATCAATAAGACTGCATATTCTTCTTTGGATTTGATCAAGAATTTCTGAATATATAGCAGGAATAATAGACCAGATGTGGCAGAAATATTCAAAGCAACGACGAACGGTAGGCTTATAAATATGTAAGGTAGATTTTGGCGAGAAAAAATGTCTTGCACGACACAGCGAATCAACTTCCCTAGTTGCAGACTTAGCTATCGAAAATTTTATTCGCAACTTTGTTCATCGTCAGGGAATTAAATCGTGCTCTTTTATGCAATTACCTTTGATTTATTCTAACAAATCTTCTTATTTTTGCTTGTTATCGATTTTAATATAGACAAAACAACCCGGGCATCCATTTTGAGACTGAATTACTTAAAAACTAGAAACAAAATCATTAGTGCAATACTGACACACCGTGGTATGAAATGCTGAAATTATTTGATGCTGCATTTAAAAACCTCAAAGATTTGGTAGCCGGTAGCGCAACACATATATCCGTTACTTCAAGATATTGTAGGGTACCTAGTGGTCACGTGTTCGGTTTGTGAATCAGGTACTGGAATTTTATTCACTTTGTTTTAGTAGAAATTACTACAATAGAAATAGGTATAAGGAGTAATTCAAAACAACGTCGAAAGCCACTGGACTTAAGACTAAATCGTTTGAAACATATGCTCAAAGATCGTACCAATGTTCCATCATTATCAGAACTAAAACCTTCGAAGCCACCAGAAGAGAAAAGGAAGAAGCTAAACGACATGACAGAAAGGCTCGACAAAATCGACCTCCAACCAACATTACCATCCAGTCAATGCCATCGGCTCTTCCATGCAAGAATTGGCCATCAACGCCATCATCATAAAGCAAGTGATCAGAAAACAAAAAAATTAAATTCTTGGATACGAGATAAAGTCGCCACCGCCGACAACGAATTAGTAAGAATTAGTACACTGTGACAGAAATACCTTCCAGAAATACCTTCCAGAAATACCATTATATGGGAGGTATATTTGGGAGGTATTTTTGCCGCACCCTCTATAACAGGAACAAGATAACCCAAGAAAGATTCATAGACATTCGCTGTCTGCCAAAGAATCGGACACCTGAAGATACAGTGGACACGATCGAAACGTTAAGTTTATTTGAACATCTATACAAAGAAAGGTGTAAAACCAAATTATAATAGTAATTCCTCTGTTTTGAAAAATGATAAAACCCTCCATGTTTTCTTCAATAGAAAAATGTATTATTTAAGAGATTTCTTGATATTGACTCCAAAATGGGTTCAAAATACATTCCAGCAACCATTTTGAAAACATATATCTTTACTCTTTTGATTTTCTTTTCTGTGTGACTTTAATTTAATTTTTTTAATTTTTAAATTACAGAAAATATTTCTTATATTTAAAATTTTAAAGATTTAAATTTTTCAGATATTTTATTAAGCATTTTTTCTTTTATAATTTTCAGAATCTTTAAAATAAATTAAATTTAGAAATTTATTTTATGGAGTCAATTTTTATTTTATGATTTTAACTAAACTTTTCAAAATAAAAACAATTGAATATTCAAAATTGCACTTTTGAATCAAAATAAATTTAAATTAAAGTGCAATTATTTTTTTAAAGTGTTGTCTTATTAGCTCCACTTTTGTTCGGATATAATTCTACATCTTACTCTCATCCCCCCATATATATATATATATATATATATATATATATATATATATATATATAAAATGAACACAGAAGTCAATACTTAGGGCGACAGTCTGTTTCATGCTAGATGCAATCGTCAGGCCACGATTGCATCTAGCATGAAAAGACTGCCGCCTTTAAGTGTTGACTTCTATGTTCACTTTTATATTTTACACACGCTCTATCTCTGATATTGAGCCCTTTATTCCATAAATATAGCACATCTTATGACTATATTTCTTCATATATATATATATATATATATATATATATATATATATATATATATATTTGTGTGTGTGTGTGTGTGTGTATTACATTAAGCTTTATACGTGACACTTCTTATTTGAAATAGACGCCCAATTTCTATTTATTAAATTGTGTGTTTTACGTCTATCGGCCTTCAGATGGAGCGTCC